CCCCCCCCCCCCCCCCCCCAAATTTGAGTCAAATGCAAGCAAAAACGTCTCTGATTAAATCCCACGCGGCGTCCTACGTGGACTCAATCTTCAATCCTATTGGACTCACTAACCCTTTTCTTCATGGTTAGGAAAAGAGAGTGGTCCCCTGCCGCGAGTGGGGATTTAAAATAAAAGTGCCACGCGCAAGTCAGTGCGGCTATTCTCACGCCTTTGACGCGTGAGCGCCCAAGCCAATATTCCTTATATAAAAATATTTTTTTTAAAAAAAGGGAAAATAATAAATTAGTTGTAAATATAAGTGCGACCATCCAGGAGGCAAGGAGTCAAGCCCTAGGCGTGCTTTGCGCTTGTAAGAGAGAGAATACTGACTCTTCTAGAGAGAGAAACACACTTTCAAATTGACGGGAGGTTTCCGGCGACTGTTGCTGTTGTCGATCGTGGTTTGCTCCGATGGCTAGGACAAGTAACCCGAACGGAAGTTTCAAGGTTAAGCTATTTTTGAGAGAGCGTTTTGTTTCGGTCGACTAGACAAATCGCTGTCTTCGCTGCTGCCTCTAGAGATTATCTCGAGCGAAATTTGACGTTTCGAGCGGTTGGATTGCTCTCTTGTTTTTTTCTTAACGGCCTGAATTGTAAGTTACTATGGTGGAGATGGAGTGGCCTGGGAGTCTTGATGAATACTCAAAGCTTATCAATCGGATGAACGCACCCAGGTTTGTTTTCTTTCGATCTCTTGCGATTTCTCCTGCCTGCAGTTGCAACCATTGCCAATCGTTCACTTTACGAATGTTCTGTTTCTGTAATAGCATGATTTTCTGGTCAACAGTAGGTTAATCTTGCCGTATTTTGATCCTTCTTTGGGATTTCTCTCGTTTCTTTCGATCTTTTAGTTTTAGGGTTTAATTAGTTTTCGATTTGCAAATCTGCTGGTTTCCATATCGGGGAACAGCGTTTGCTTATTTTCAGCACCGTAGTCTTCACTTTCCTTCTGTGAGAGATTTCTTTCCCCATGCGTTTTCAGATTCGGTCCGACTCCGATTTCTGCGTTCACATGCTTCCAACTGAGAGGAATTTTAAATTACCGACCGGAAATTTCTCCTCTCTTCCATCTTTGAACTTTTCAAATTTTCTAGACTATTTTGGAAGCCTCTATTCTAGACCTAGCACCGGTTTTCATTTAGTCTTGATTAATTCATGGTTTGTCTGACTCTGTCCAGCGGCATCATTCAAACGTCTTTCCCGAGACTTTTCAGAGATCCATGTGGCTTATTTGAAATATCAAAACTTGGGATATAGATGGCAATTAATCTTGACGTAGCTTGACCGATTGCTACCTCTTTTGCAGGGTTGTAATCGACAATACCGTATGTGAAACTGCGACTCTGGTCAAGGTCGACAGTGCAAGAAGACATGGAATCCTCGTGGAAGCTGTACAAGTGTTAACGGACTTGAACCTTTCAATTCAGAAAGCTTACATTTCTTCAGATGGAAGATGGTTCATGGATGGTATGCTTAAATGGCATTTAATGCTAATGAATATGCATTTGATTAAGTCTTTTTTTAATAAATTCATACTATTAATTTTGCTTGCAGTTTTTCATGTGACTGATATTGAGGGAAATAAATTAACTGATGAGGGCGTTATTAGCTACCTTGAGAAGGTAATTCATAGGATCCGAACCCCAATTAATTTTGATCTGTTTCCATTGATGTATTGTAACTTACTTGCCTTGATGGGTTGTCTTGTAGTCACTTGCAACGATTCACTGTGGCAAAACTGCTGCCTCAAACGATTTCACAGCCCTGGAGCTAACTGGGACAGACCGTGTCGGGCTTCTTTCGGAGATATTTGCAGTGTTGGCTGAGCTTCAATGCGATGTTGTTGAGGCTAAAGTGTGGACTCATAATGGCCGAATCGCTTCCTTAATATATGTCAAGGACTGTAATTCTGATTCCCCTATCAATGACTCCCAGAAAATAGACACCATAGTTGGACGTTTGAGGAATGTTTTGAAAGGTGATGATGACATTCTTTATGCCAAGACTTCAGTCTCCATGGCGGTCACCCATACTGAAAGAAGGTTACACCAGATGATGTTTGCTGACCGGGACTATGAAAGGAAGCCTGTTCTGCAGCATAGTGATGATGATTCACCTGTAGTGACAGTTCAGAATTGGGTTAAGAGGGGTTACTCAGTTGTGAACGTTCAATGTAAAGATCGAATGAAGCTGTTATTTGACGTTGTTTGCACGTTGACCGACATGGATTATGTAGTTTTTCATGGCACCATCACTACAGCAATGGATACAGCATATCTGGTAAATGTTTTTCCTACTTTCTGGGTTCATATTATTTCATAGGATGGTTGAATCATCGTGTTATTCACATCAACTGTGTCATTTCGTATCAGGAATTTTACATCAGGCACACTGATGGAACTCCAATTAGCTCCGAGGCTGAAAGGCAGCGTGTTATCCAATGCTTACAAGCTTCCGTTGAGAGGAGGACATCACAGGTACATGCGTTGTTCGATCATGTTATTAACCAAATTCCTCATTGCATTATACAAAAGTTGCAGGCATCTTAACTGTTTATGATGTGTGTATGCCACAGGGTGTGAGATTGGAGTTGTGCACAACCGACAGGCCATGTCTGTTAGCAGACGTTACCAGAACATTTAGAGAGAACGGTTTAAACGTCACAAGAGCAGAGGTATCGACTTCAGCGGAGGTAGCTCTAAACCTCTTCTACGTAACAAATGCACATGGGAGTGCTGCAGACGCGAAAACCATCGAGTCTGTTCGGGAGAAAATTGGGTTGAGCAGCTTGAAAGTGAAGGAACTGCCGTTGATTTCTCAACAAAAGACAGAAGGGGAGGAGCAGGCGGCGGGTGTTGGTGGGGCCGTGTTGTTATCTCTTGGGAGCATATTGAGAAGGAATCTATACAACTTGGGATTGATCAGGTCATACTCGTAGGAATAATATAATAGCAGAGCATGAAAAGTTCTAAGGAAAAAGCAACTGAGTTATTCCAAGATTTGTCCAATTGTCTAGTTTAGCCTAGCATATTCTTTGCTTGAAGTTTGGTCATATTGTGTACATAAAAGAAGCAACATTTGAAGGAAGGGAAGGGGTGGCTAATGATGATGATGATAGTAGTAGCTGGTTTGGTCGGCGAAGAGGAGAAAGAACAAGAGAACTGCTTGTTATAGGTCTGCCATCTGCTGCTGCTGCTTGCTTAGGTTGTATACAGCTTAACACATTGTACATAACAGCCTTTTATTTTTAAGTACACTTGAATCAGTGTTCACCTTTTGTTTTTTTTTTTTTTAAATCAATGTTCACCTTTCCATTCAATCAAATCTAATTTGGAAGAAACCATAAATCAATCAAATATATAAAAACACTAATTGGGCCTCGGCCCATAGACAATGGGCCTTGGAATTGCAAGGCTAAATATTTTGAAAGCCCATAAGCTCATTTCAAATTCAAGGCCCAAAACATCACTTCGGCCAATTTCTGCAATTGATATAGACTACAAATAAAATAAAATAACTATGAATTTGTGTTAATTACTCCACAAGATATTGCTATTATATAGCCATGAAGTAGACATTAATAGTCTAAGCACCAATTAATTTCTTTTTTTAAAAAAATGTAATTAATTAATCTTTTCAAGTAATGATTTTCTCTTTCATAAAGAAAAGTTTTCCACTAATTAATCGAAATTAATAAATTAATTATTATCCTGGTTTATTTTATAAATAATTAGGTGGGTTTGTGAAGTTAAATAAAATAAATGTTAGGTAGGATTACAATAACATGGCTGAGATGGAAAAAATTACAAAAAAAGAAAATATTATTTATTTTTTCTATTCTTATTAATATTACATAAAATTGTGAATTTTATTCTTTTAACAAAAATGATTATCAAATTTATTTTTATATATTTATTATAAAGTAAACAAAAGAACAAAAAAAAACATAAAGATATGATTATTAAACACTTCTCTCTTTATTGTTTCTAAAAAAACAAAAAATTTAACGTAGAGTGAGGGAAAAAATATAATATAATAAGATTAATAAAACATATTAATAATATGATATAATTATTAATAAAATAACTACCGTCGATCTTATCTAAATCCACTTTAATTCAAATTTTTCAGTAATATTATTTTATTGGGTATGGGGATTTTTTCTTTTCTTTTTTTTTTTCTAAAAAATAAATTAGATACTTTTTGGATAACGTATAAAAAAAACCCATTATATATATATATATATATATATATATATATATATATATATATATATATATATATATATATATATATATATATATATA